AATTAATTTAGATAATATGAGTGTCAATATTTAAAATACCAAAGAGTTCTTATTACCATCAAAACCAACAGTAAATCTGCTTATAATTCCACAAGTAACAACTTTGAATGGTGTCACTGGAGTTTATTCAATAATTAATAAAGGTTATTTTCGACTTGTGGAAGTTTAATTCTAATTATTGTATTCTTATAATTTTGTTTTTGGTTGGTTATTTTATAAAATGGTCAATAAAATAGAAAAAATATTTTTTATATTATAGAATAATCAATGATTTTTATAAAAAGCTCGGTCTATACTTGACAACCATCACTATATGAATATTCAGGTTTACTTTATAGACTTCATCGCTTTGATATTTGAATTAGTAATGTTTATAATTTTAAATATATTTAAAATTTTAAATTATGGGATTACATTATTATATAGTATTGTATTATTAATAAACAATTAATAATTATTTCAATAATTTATATTAAATTATTTTAATTGTTTTAATAACATTATATAATACTTTTTTTATTTGTATTGTTTAAAATTATAGTTTTTTTAATTACTTTAATTAACGAGTTCCCAAACTGCGCATTGGCTTTAATGAAAGATACAAGTCATTATGTTGTCTGTGAAACAGACCACTTTCTCTTGAACGAATCATTTCTTTTATGTTCCAGTTTTTGTTCGATGTGTTTGAGTGATTTTGAGTGTTTAAAGTGCTTCATCTATTATTTTGTCAATGAGACGTATTCATGTGAAAAGACAACATACTTAAAAGTTTGTGCCATTATTGGTAATTTATGTAATTATGGGTGTGAGATGTGTGACGATCTATATTCCCTTAATAACAACATGCAGTGTGTTCCATGTTCGTCCATTTCGGAACATTGTGCGGTGTGTGATAAATATTTGTATCGGTGTAAAAAGTGTCAGACCAGTTTCTATCTCTCAGAAAGTAAACATGTGAACTCGAATGTTGCTTTCTGTGTTGAAACAAATGGCGAATTTTGTTCTAAATGTTCTTTTTGGAGTAAAGCGAGTTCTGAACAGCTCAATCAATACCAGAATATTCCACTGTGGTGGGTCATCTTACTTATAATTATCACAGACATCATATTTATCACATTCATATCATTATTTGCTGCATTTGTTCTTTAGAAATTGATTCAAAAAATCTTTTAAATGACTCGGAATATGAGTGTACCGAAAACATGGTGATTTTTTCAAGAATAGACCAAACTGTATATTGCATCACCGAAAGTGCCTACTAGCATGTTGATATCATCGTTGAGTTCACAGGGGATTATCGGGCTGTACTATGTTGTTGTCTTGTACTTGTTACTGAAGTCGAATTACTAGGGGATGGCACATATTATCATGTTCAAAGACTTGCCCGATTGTTTGGGGCTACTGCAATTGTGTGATGATATCATTATAGCGCGACAAGATGGGGATTTAAGACTTAAAGAAGATCTAGTGAATGAATTACTGCTGATATATCGCAAGCCTGTGTTGTTATTTGAAAGAACTGTGTAGAAATGAAATAAATAAATTGTGGGTATGTTATTTAATAACTTCTTAATGTTGAAAATGTGAGATAAGTCCATTTATCCATTTTATAAGGAAAGAAAAGATTTAAAATAGAAAAGAGTGATTAGTGGGGTGCTTTAATAGATAGACCATTACTATTTCATCAAGAGAATATTGAACCAATGAAATGAAAGATATTATGTTGAAAACTAGAAAGAATACTAAAAGAATAGTAAAAAAAGGTAAAAATTATAAATAGATTTATCAATAATTTGTTCCATTAGATCAAGAAATAGAAGAACAAGTCGACTTATTAATTCTTGAATTTAGAGAACTCATTTCTGTATTGTTATTGAGAAGGGATGAACATTAACTACTCTATGACACCAACACCTAAAGAAAAAGAAGAAATCATTCACAACGACGCGGAAGCAGAATATCAACTTGTTTATAGCAATGTGTTACCAATCTCACGAAACTATTGCCACAGTAAATGCGTAATTGGTGGGGAATATTACAGAGTCAATATAAAAGTTGTGATGGTCTTGGTACCTACGATATTTCACTGGATTGCTTCGTTTGTTTTTAGGATGGAAAGAAAGAATGTACTCATCGACAGTGTGAGGTGGCTTATAGTCGATTATAACATTGCGTGGTTTATCCCATCACTCTTTTTCTTCTGTACAATTGTTGTTTGTTTTCATTGATAAATTTCTATGAATAAATAAGATGAAATAAATTGATTAGAACTGCGGGGAACGAAAGCATGTCAAGCTCTTGGATATCTTCACGACGAACGCGAACCCGGGAATAATCCCTCGAAAGATCAGAATGATTTGAATTACCCCCAACGGTGCAAAACATGTGACGAAGACGTGCAACTTTAAAATGCAGAGTATGTAACGAGGAAATACCGTGTCACATGTTTAATAGTCAGACCATTAAGGGGTTCTCACTGCTCGTATTGTAACAATTGTGTTGATTAATTTGATCATCATTGCCCTTGGTTTGTTTCAATATAAAACTATTTAAATCAGTCGATAGAGAGTATACTATATATATAGTATATATTAATAATTATAAGTATAATAAATTAATAGTAGAAGTATAATAACTTATAAGAAGGAATTACAGGTCGTACTTCTTCCTTCTCTTTTGGAGTTTAATGTATTTGGCGTATATCATGGCGTGTTCTTTGGCGGGACTTTTAGTTCCAATTGAAAAGCCATGGAGCTGGAAGGCGTTTTTGAAGTCTTGGAAATCGCACTACTTCTTAGAGTTTGTTATTACTATATATTTAGTATTTTAAACTATATAGTATGTATAGAATATATAGTATATTTACTATTATAAAAACCATTCAATCAAATTACACAAAGACCCTTCATTTTCCTCTATTGCTTCGTCTGTTTTGGTTTAATTGGCTATTTGTTCACTCGACACGTCATCCAAATATCCTTTGGTCAAACAACAAACGACAAAATAAAGAAATTCCGCGCTTACAACATGGGCTTTATTAAAAATTGGACGGACTTCTTGTTCAGTCCAATTCCACCACCATTTCCACTCCTTAAATCAAAACCAAAGAAAGCAAAACAAGCAAAAATGACTCAAGAATACACGCCAGTTTAAATGGAACTTCAAACACCTCCAAACGGCGTCGATATTAAAATAGAAAAATGAACAGAAAAGTATTCTATTAAATTAAAGTTTAAATAATTAATTCTTTTTTCAACCAACACCGAATAGTTTTTTTAATTAAATCAAATTATTAATTAAAATTTTACTAAAAAAACAATTAAAAATAAACTATACAAAAATAGTAAATTAAACTATTTAAAAACCAGTAGCTCTTTTTAATTGATGAATTACAGACAGACAACGTCTTAGTTCTTTTCTTCGAGAGTATTCCTTCTCTTGTTGGACAAGTTAATTTTGAATTGGAAGTAATCGGGGAAGTTCATTGGCTGTTTTACAAATATCGAGGAGTCAGTCACATTCAGTTCCTTTTGCTCACTTTGGTAACACGTATTTGTTGACGGTCACTATTACCGTCTTTTCTCGAGGGTTTAACATCTTCATTCCTGATACACTGATAAAGGTCTGCTCTGTACTGGCTACACACCAAACGCCTTCAGAATCCATCTCGACCCCCTGATCATTGTTGAAGACTGTTTCAGGTAATTCGACTTTTTTTAGGCACTTTGAATTGCTTTTGTCTGTTTGTCGACACGGGTGAGGATCTGGCTGAGGATCTCACAGCGCATCGAGGGCCAATCCTTTGTCGCAAAGGTCTTAAACTTGTGACATGTCACATTCAACGCGTTTAATAAACTCTTTTGCTCATCAACAAAGACAGAAGTATCAATTCCATCCATCACGACATAGAGGACAGAATAGAACTTCTTGAAACGCAGTTCGGTGGAGGTGAGAACTTCACTCTTGACTGTTGGAAGTGACAGCAAACCCATTCCAGTCAATGAATTTTCAAAGCAAAACAGTTCATTTGGCAATTTAAAATGCCGCCACACAGTTATCATCTCGATCATATCAGAGATGATCACTACAAAGAAGTACAAAATCCTTTCCACCTCGACAAAGTCGTTTTGAAGCGACGAGAAGGGTGCAAAGTCGAAATATCAATTAAGCCACTTTGCTCGACACATATTCAAGACAAATTGCAAATTGTCGTCGACAACGCGTTTAATGGGAAACGAACAATCGGAACACTGAGCATGGAAATCGCGACGGAAGTAACAACAAGTTTCAATTATTCAGAAGTCAAAGAAGAGAGTTATTTGGGTGTTGGTGGGTTTGGGATCGTTTATAAATGGACTTTGTTATAAATTATATAATAAAATATACTGATTGTGCATTACCGTTGCAATCAAAAAGATGAAAGAGCACACAAAGTTGCTTGACATAATCGACGAATTTGAGAAGGAAGTTGCAAAAAAAATTCAGAAAAGTGTATATAGTGCACTTTTTTAACAAACAAAATAAAGATAAAGATGTATTTAGATGCTTCAAGATGATTTTGTATGTACATTAATAAGATCTTCCATCGAAACATAAAGCCAGATAACATCCTCATTTTCTTGTTAGAAGATAAAGTCACTGCAAACGGCAAACTGACGGACTTTGGATCGAGTCGAAATATCAACAGTTTGATGGAAAATATAACAATCAAACCAAAGTACTAAATATGTTGGTAATCCTCTTGATATGGCCCCAAAAGTACTTCTTAAGTTCAAATACAAAACACCGGCCGATATGTATTCGTTTGGAGCAAGTATGTACGAGTGTTCCATATTACAGCAAAGAATTAATAGAGAAAAACAATAAGACAATATTACAACAATAAATAAATATTAATTCATTTAATAATTATTTTTTTGAATCAAACTTAACATTGTAAATGAATTAATATAGTCAATAGTTATAAATATTATACTTGATCAATTATATTTTTCTTTGATTCGATTATTATAATTAGAACTTAATTTCGAAATAAGTTTAATTTAATTTTATCACTAACATTAACAATCAATTAAATAACAAAAAATAAAATTTAGTAACAAAAAATATTCCTCATTGAATAAATGGTTTGTTCAATGACATATTTAAACATTTCTTCAAATAAAAACGCATTGAAAAGTTCCAGAACAAAGTATTAAAAATAATATAATTACATATTAAAATAACAAATAGTAACAACTAATAATTTATTTGTGTGATGTTCATGTTACTTTTAATCAATTTCTTTCTATTTTATATAACATACGCAGTTACCACAAAACATTGTTACGCGTTTGATAGTAATGATGTTTGCATTAGATGTACTCAAAACTACGTCCTCATTAAAGGTGAATGCACCAACTCACAATCTGCTCACTGTGCTTTAATTGACGATCAAAGTCGATGTCTTGAGTGTTTCCCGGGTCACAAATTTGACTTTACGACCAACAAGTGTGTTTCTGGAGAGGACAATTGTTCCGAGTATTATTTTAACGACCAAGATGTTTTGACCTGCAAAAGCTGTGTTTCCAATTTCACTCTTTTTGACTCAAAAACGTGTGGAAATTGCTCTGGTCTTAACGACGGATGTCTCAAAGGTACCACTGACTGCAAAACGTGTACCGAATGTGCAGATAATTATAAACTCGTTAATAACAAATGTGAATTGTATCAGCCAAATTGCCAGAAATATGATGTGAACACTCAACAGTGTGTTAAGTGTATTGATGGCTATTTTCTTTATGAAAGAATTTGGAAGTGTATTCGTGGCGAAATAAATAACTGCTTGGTTTATAAAACAGAGACTGAGTGCAGTGTGTGCGAGACAAGTTATTTTGTTATCAACAACAAATGTGTTAAAAAAGCTGGATGTACTGAAGTGACAAATACACAATGTTCTAAATGTGCATTTGGATATTCTTTAATCAACAGCGAGTGTCACAAATGTGTTTCTGATTGTTTAAAGTGCACTGAAAACGCTTGCTTGGAGTGTACTGATAAATACATTTTAGAAGGAACTACATGCAAGAATTGCACTGAAAAGATATCTCATTGTGTGACATGTTCTCAGACGAAATATGAATGTGAAGAGTGTGAAAGTGGGTATGGGCTTGTCACTGGTCAACGATGTATTGCATATCCCGATGCATGTACAAGTGCTGAAGAATTCAATACACAACTTTCTTGTACTTCTTGTAAAGATGGGTATCAACTGACTTTAGAAAGTCCGAGTCTGTGTATTAAATGTGGTGTTAATTGTAAAACATGTGAAGCATCAACTCCTTCGCAGTGCAAAACATGTTTAGAAGGATATATATTAGTTGGTACAACATGCACTAAATGTGCCGATTCAAATTGTGGAGTTTGCACCACAACAACAACTTCAAGTTGCACTGACTGTAAAAATGGATATTACATGGACGGCACAACATGTAAGTCTTGTGCTTACAACTGCGATAAATTAACAACAAAAGATGAATGTGATAAATGTGAAAGTGTGTGTAAATTTTATGGAGACGTTAATGGCGTGTGCAGAGAAGATTTGTATTGTCTTGAATATGACATTGATCGAGATGTGTGTTTAAAGTGCCAACAAACATATTACTTAGACAGCAATTATAAATGCAAGAAATGCACAGAGAAGTGCAAAGATAGAAATTGGTGTGTTGACAGTGACAGTTGGTGTGTTATGACATATGGTGTTGAAAATTGTCAGGTGCAAGATAACAGAGGAATTTGTACTGTATGTGATGATAACATGAAAGTAAATAACAGTGGAAAGTGTGACCCTTATTTTAGGTGTGTTGTCAGAAATAGTTTAGGAGAATGCACTGAATGTTATGCGTTTATTGATAATGGAGATTACTATTATACACCAGACAAATATGGTGTTTGCTATTTGGGTGGTGCGAGAACGATATCCATACTATTTTGGATGACTATGGTATTGCTATATTTCATTTAATTTACAAAATAAGCAATCATTATATTTTATTAATGTTTTTGTTAATAAAATAATAATAGTAATACAACAAAATTTGTTTATTTATGGATTTTGATCCAGAAATAATCATTACAAGTCGGTTCAAAACTTTTTTGGTTTTCAAAAACACGACGAGTCGTCATAATATTCGTCAAAACCACAAAAATATATTAAAAAAGAAAATTATGTATAACTATTGTGAGCCAACTCTTACAAATTGTCAAACAATTTTGTTCGCTGATGTCACTACTTATTGTTTAACATTATGTGTGACTTGTTATGATCATGTTTAGAACAATTATAAACAAATAAATTTATTTTGTTTTTTTTTGTAATATAACACAAATAATTTAACTGTTTTTATATCGTACTTGTTGGCAATAATGTATTAATTAATTTACTTCGAAGTTTGAGATGTTTTAGACAATTTGATATTATTGGTCAATTATAAATTTATTGATGTTAAAATTTAAATTAAAACCGGAATTTTGATTCTTACGAAATGATAATATAAAGTCAAACTTAAAACATATATACACCAAATGAATAAGTTTTTAGACCGGTACTCGATGATGATTGTTTCAAAATATTTTATGTATTTGAACGACTTCAAAAAGTTGGTTTTAGTTTGCAAGAAGTTTAACGAAATTCCACTGATGTTTCACTTCAATCCAATTCGATGGGAAAAAAACATGGGAAGTTATTTTAAGAATGTTGAAACACTACACTTATATAGAAAATATGACAAATTTGTCCCTGGATTTTATCAGTATTACATACACTACCCTCTTGAACTTACCGAATACAAAAAGTTGAATAAAAAGATGAAAGTGATATGCCCACAAATTACATTTTCTCTTCGTGATTTACAAAACGGTTGTTCTTATAAAGAAGCAACTGTATTATTACCAAGTGCTTTTGGATCAAAGTTGAATGTATTTACTGAATTGGAGTGTTCTTATATATCCAAGTTGTCAATGAGGACCTTTGCAAACAATAAAATATTGAACATGATAACCCTTTCCAATAATATACATACAATACCTGATTATTGTTTTGAGAATTGTGTTTCACTCAAAGAAATCAATTTGGAACACGTTTATGTATTAGGATCAAAATGCTTTATTGGGTGTGGCAAACTGTCTGCACTCACATTTTGCTCAAATTTGACAAAGTGTGGAAAATACCCATTTTATGATGTGTTTTCTATTGAACACGTGTCGGCATTTTCTTCACAAAGTGTTGAATTGGAATTAAACGCGTCTTGTTCGAGTGTATTTTCTAATATCAAGAAAAAACTTTATATCACATATAGTGATGTGTTAAATGGTTATTCGATTGACGACTTAATAAATGAAATTTGTGAAGCCGCCTTCTTTGGAATGAAAAATTTGAGTGATAAAAGCATTGCGCCAACTATCAAAGTAATTGGCAAAAATGCGTTGTCTTATACTGATTTAAAGCGACTTGATTTGTCGCATGTGGAGGTTTTTGAAGAACAAGAGAACTTGAAAACGTTGACAGCACTCACAATGAATTCAAAAATCACTTTCAACAATTTGTACCAATGCAATTTGTTACAATCAATTGAAGTTGTTGGTACTAATTTTATGAAAGGGAAAGCCGGGTGTTGGATGAAGTCTTTATTTGACATAAAGAATTTAGAAGTCGAGGAGTATGTATATACTTGTAAAGATTGTGAATTCTTCAAAGGAATGTTACCATCAAATATCACAAACTTAAAGACTATTGAAGAGGAAGTGAGATTAAAAGATTTGGAAATTGATACTTATAAAGTCCCAGAAAGTGTAACTTTGTGTTATAAAGAAAATTTTCAAGAGTGTAAAAACATCAAAAAATTACTTTTACCAAAGAGTCTCATTACTCGTTTTGACTTTTCATCACTAACAACAATAAAAGAAGCTGCTTTGCTTTATAAAAATAAAACATTTTTAAACGTTCACTCAAGTGGGAAATTAACATCAATCACGTTTCTTGACGACAATTTGTTGAATAACCAACAAATGTACAACATTAATTTTCAAATTCTTAAAAACATCGAATTTGCACATCCACCAACAGACGGAATTTATACCGGAAATGTGGATTATCGAATTTATGAATTATTGAAAACCAAATACAAATTCAAAGGAGAAATTGTGTTATATTATATTGATAGCTGGGATATTAAAAAAGGAATTTATATAATTCCAGACGTCGTGACTATTGTTGCTGGTTATGTATTATACAATAATGATTATATAAAAAATATATGGGTTGGTAAAAACACACGGTTAATTCAAAGTTACGCTTTTGAAAAATGTAAAAATCTTGTGTTGGTTAAAAATTTAAAAAAATCGATAAAAATAAAAAAGTTTGCATTTGGAAAATCAAATCCAAAATTGGTGTTTGATGCCAGTAATTAATTTAAGTTCATTAGTATTGTTTTTCATGGATTATTTTTACACTTTAAATAACATTGAACAAAATTCAAGTGGTCTAAAAATCAAAAAATCTCGAGTTAATTTAATAAATTTCCGTTTTTTAGAGTTTATATTATGTGCATAAACAATATACAAGCCAAAAAAAATCATCAAAAATTTGATTAATATCCCTGTAAAAACAGGCCAAAACAAAAACAAGGGCGTTATTTTAGGTGTTACAGATACCCGAAAAATAGTCCGGCACAGAAAAAACGACCGGCAAACCATAAATTTATAGTAAATTATTGTTTTTTGTTTTTGGTCCTGTTTTTTAAAATTTTACATTAAAAAAATTATTTAATAGTTTTTAGAAACCATTTTTATAGTTTGCCGGTCGGTTTTTCATGTGTCTGTTATATAATAATATAATATAATTATATATAATCAAGTTTAAAAATTCAAATTTTGACATTTTTTTTAATTATCACTATTGTTTATTAAATTTTTATATGTGTTTATATTCCAGTTTTAAGGAATTTGATATTATAATCACGATTGTTTTTCCATATTGATGCCGTACAACCGTTTTGTGATGGTCTATAATTTTGTTTTCAACTTTTTTTACTTTATATATTATTATTCTTTTTTTTTAAATTGGTATTTTTATAATTATGATTATATATCAATTTTAATTTTTTTAGTATACTTATCATATGAAATAAAGAAGTCTATATATAAATACATGGAGTTACATCTAAATAATAGAAACTACGATAAGTATCTTAAAAAGTAAATTTGTAATACATTTATTATGTTATATATATTTTTCACACTTCATCCCTTTATAAATTTTTATTATAAACTTTAAAATGAAATAAGTAATGAGTAAACCAACACCTCAATATCTAAAATGGACCGACGTCGAACCAACATTTCTCCAAAACTTTCAAACATCGATCCTCCACTTCATAGACTTCGAGTTTGCAAATTCTTATAATGCAATTCCCAAAACCAACGAAATTGGTATTTCGACTGTTTCACTTTCAAATCCGGCTGAACACGATTCTTTCCATGTAATTATTCGCTGTAAAAAGAGTGACAAATACACATTTAGAATCCATGGAATTAACTCCAATTCATTAATTTACCCGACACCGGGTGTCGGGTTCAGTCAATTTATTGATTATATGTCCAAGTACTCTGGTCTCAAAATCTTTGTTGTGAAAGATGAGAAAGTTGGTGGAGGGGATGTTAAAGTGATGAATTCGATATTTAAAACAAGTGATATTCAGTACACTATACTTACACATCACATGCTAATTAGTTGTATACTTCATCATTTTAACGTAGAATTTGATGAATTTTCAATTAAAGGTGAAGTCAATATGTTTTACAAGCATTTGCACGTCTCTGAGAAGTGCGAGTACCACACTAAGTTGGACAAAAAATTCCACTGCGCTTTGAGTGACGCGAGAAACACGGCTTTGACTGTTTTTGCCTCTTTGAAAGCCCTTTGCAACGAGTTGGTGTTTCATAACACAGAACTGATTCCCTTCTATGAGGTACCAAAATTTGACATGTCCGATGGCTCAAGTTTTGTGCTGTGTTTTTGTAACACTTTTGGCACACGAAATTCTGTGTATGAAATTTTAATGGAAGAAGTCACTTATCAAAATGGGAAGTTAATTGAGTGCGAAAAGGATGAGATGTGCTTTGAACACTTTGTACCGCCTCAAGTGAAAGGTCAAGCACATCCAGAGATCTATGAAAAGTTGACAAGTGCATATCCCGATGTTGAAAATCACAACGAGAAAGCATTTGAAAATGTCTCGCAATATCTCAAAGACCACAGCGGAATGTATTTGGTCAATTTTGGGTTCGTATATAAAGAAACAGACTTTGATTTTTCAGAGATGTATTTGAAAACAAAACTTGCTATGTGCAAAATATTATATGCGCAGTGTGGTGGAAAAGGCAAATTCAGTGATTTAATATTTTACAATAAAATAGAAGAACTTGGAGATGCTATTTTAGTGTCACAAAAAGAGAAAGAAAAAACAAAGGAATTTGTTTGTAACATCCACAAAAAAACTGAATTTGAGAAAAGTTGTGTGTGTGAAGTCAAAGAAAAATATTTGAGAGGACTTGAAGAATTCGCAAAACATCGGGAAATTTGTGAGCAACTTGGGAAGGACATGAAAATTTTTTTTGAAGAAGTACGAAAGCTAAAGGAAAAAGAAAAAAAGAAATGGGAAGAAAACAAAGAAAAAAAGCTCCAAATCTCCGAACAAAAAAAAGAAGAAGAAAAAAAATCGACTTTTCAAAAAGAAGGTTCAAAAACAAAGGAAAAAGGTCAACAAAAAACTCAGAAAAGGGAAAGTAGAAAACAACGTAAATTAAATCGAGAAAAAATTGAATTGCGTCTGCTAAAAGATCTGCAAAAAGGCAACACAGACGATGATATTAATAACGAAGAAGAAAAAAGCACAGATAAGAAGGAGTAAACAATTAATAAAATGAAAATTAAAAAGCGATGATTAGAAATAATTCAAAATATTTTAATTTTTAATAAGTTGATATTAATAATAAATGTACTATAAAATATAGTTATTTGAAAATACCATACATTATTAGTTAATTATTATTCAATAATAGTTCTGAAATGTGTATTATGTCATTAAAATGTGTCAAAAAAGTATATAAAAATAGAATTTGAACAACTAAATTCACGGATGCAAATATTTGTGAAGACACTCAGGGGTCAGACAATTTTATTGGAAGTTGAGCTAAACGATTCAATTAATGTTATTAAGGCAAAAATCTAAGAACAAGAAGGCATTCCATTAGATCAATAACGAATCTTCTTTGCAGACTAACAACTTGAAGAGGAAAAATAACTTTCTGACTACAACATTCAGAAGGAGTCGATGTATTACCTTTTTTGAGATTGAGAAAGGGGTTATTAAGCATTTTGTATCTTTGTATACGTCTTGCTTTGTTATTAATTACTCAAGTCAATTTCTATTTTATTTATTGTGGGTCGTGTTGAATCACATTTTTGATGTTTAAATAAGCCAATTGTATTAATAATAATAAAAATACATTTGCCGGGACTCAAACCCGGATCTCCACCTTGGAAAAGTGAAATTCTGCCCTTAGACCACAAATGCTTACTATTGTTTTTTATAATTAAAATTAATATAATCAACGTGTTTAAAAATAACAAGTGATGAAAAACACAAACCTAATTAAAGATAAGTTAGATATCATAAATTATTATGTAAGTATATTTATACATACATAATAAATAATATGGTCAAAGCATTTAATTAATTTAATGCATAAATAATCCATATTTTTTACAAGTTACACATTTTTAAAATGACGTTCAAAAACTATATATTTAACAATTTGACTGAGTTAGAAAAAGTATATTTGTTATGTTATTATTACATCATTAAAGATTTTGTATATAACGCAGTATATGCAAATAAGAGACAAACTTTTTCAAAAGAAAATACATCATAGCAAAGAGTTTATAAAATGATATTTGTCATTTAAAATTTTGACATAATAATTTTTTAAATTATTATATTTTATTTTTTGGTTTTTTTTGAACAAACACTTTTTGTTGTGTTTATGGTTGTTCCTGTAATCCCAATTCGATATTAAATAATAACAGCGTTGTATCGGTGACATTTTTTTTCTAATGTAGTTTGTCCAACTTAAGTTATTATATATTGATGTTAAATTTTAGTTGGTGAATAACTAGTTGTAAAAGTTATGTTGTTATGGTTGCCATGAAATATTCATGTACATTTTTTGTCTTTTTTTCCCACTTGACTAGCCACGCCTTTTTTTATCTTTTTTAATCATGGTTGATAAATTGGTTAATTGTAATGCTTGTTGTAACATTAGTTGTTGTTGAGCCATTTGTTTGTTGTTGTGAATGAAAAATAAACCATAACACATTTATACATGAAACTGGGAGAGTGTTTAATTTTTATGAAGTTTATGTTGTTCGTGATGTGTTGTGCATTTTGATTAAAAATTAATCCAACTCAATGTATTTATTTTATAAAAAATAAATTATCAACACAAATTCTGTTTTCTGTTTTCATTATTTACAAAAATCTGGGAATTGTTTTAGATTTCAAAAAATCTTATTGATTTTACTTCGAAATAATAAATAATAATATTAATGTTAATTATTGAAACTATTTGTTTATAATATATTTTTGAATATAATGGCATTTGTTTTCAAATAAATTTATTTTTAGATACAAATAATTTTTTGTCTGATAAAATTATTGGTAAAATATATAATACTTTATCTAGTTTCAGTAACTCTGTGGACACACAAATAATAAAAAGTACTTTTTATACACATTAATAACATCCTTAATAACGAAAAAACACCCTTAAACATCAAAGAACATCCATTGGCACTTTTATAGTTCCTTTATCCTTTCTCTTTATTCATAACGATTATTTATATTATATTTTAATAATTACATCAAAAAAATTTTGTAATTTATTACCAAATATTATTTTTATTAGTTTTTAATTGTTTGAACAAAAACAATGTTTATGAAGAAGCCAATTTTTAAATTCTTTAACTCGTGACTGATCTGTGTTCTGAAAGCCATGCAAGGGTTGCTTGAAAGAGGAATTCTTGATTTGAAAAAGCTGTTTAATTTAGACATGTTAAACCCTGTCGGTTATGTATAAATAGTTTGACGTTTTGACTAAAAGGGATTTTATAAAATGTTTTAAATTTATTTCAAATTATTAAAACTTGTTAAAAAGCAATAATTTAATTTAGAATGTTTTCAACATGATTCCATTTGATTGTTATATAATTTTTTATTAAAACATTCAATTTAATAATTCATTATCATTTCATTTTGTTTTAATTAATTATCTTCCCAAAAAAGTTTTTTTAATACCAATAATTTATAAAAACAAATCTTTGCAACCGGATTTTTCTTACCATAGTTGATTCTTTGTTAATTTTAAAACATTTTTTGTTTTTACAAGATATATATACAAAACTGAAATATTTCAGGATAATATATAAATTATATAATTCATCAATTTATATTTATTGTTTTTTAATACTTTGACTTGATTCAAATTACTGAATATGCTTTGAATATTTTTGGTTTTATGTACAAAAATAAAAAACCTTTTTGTCTATTTTAAAGAATCTTAAAGGATTTTTTTAAAAAATACCCAAAATCATCAAAAAATAAACCGATAAGAATTTCGGCAAGTCAATACAACTTTGTGATATAGGATATAAATTTAATATTTTATTAATCAATCAATAGTATTTATTTAAATTTAGATAAATTAATTTATATAATTTGACTATAGTTTCAAACAAAAGATTAATGAGCTTTAAATTCATGATAAATTCACATATATTGATACACCTTTTAATTTTGTATGTAATGGGTATTAATGACTGGTGTGAAGTTAATGGTGTCATTTCTTGGTACAATAACGTTGAAAAGTGTTTCAGAGATTATTGGAATTGCAATAAAGATACTTTCATTTTTGGAAACGGGTGTTGTATGGGAGATATAAAAACATTCGAAGAAATTACACCTGGTGGGAATGAGTATAGAATTTTCCAGTTTATAGATTATCATGTGATTAATTTAAAAACTTTATTTATTCGAGAAAAATATTCATATCACAGTTTCTATATCCAAGAACGTGCAAGACCTGACGGTTTATTTGTTTCTGTGGGGTGTTTTAATAATGAAACTTTTTGTCGGAAATCCGTTGATAATGGCAAAATTCTTGGTATTGATCTTCATTTTAAAGCCATTTCAATCTACTCAGATATCAAGGAAAACATCAGAATTGATAATTATATCACAAGAATAGACAAACCCCCACAACTTTTTATTGATGGAAAAGAAAAACCAAATTATGTTGAATTTCTTTTTAAATATTTGGACATCTATGGACAACAATATTCTCAACTCAGATTTTTATTTACAGGAAATGTAGATGAAGAGAATGTAAAAGTGAAATACGAAAAGTTAATTAATAACAAATATTTTACTGGAAGATCAGTGTGTGAACGAAATGGGTACAAAAGATTTTTAGCTGTTCTTGATGAAAAAATAACAGGCAATGTGACGACAACTTGTGGTTGTAAACGAGAAAACGACATGGAAATAATAGAAGATTATAATTGGACATTTCCAGATTGTAGATACAACTCATCTTTATTTGATTTGGATTTAACAACTGATAATTTAGAATCACAGATTAATGTGAATGTTCAAATTTCAAAATGGTATTCTGTTATCTTCTCTACATTTAATAATTACTTTTTAAACTCCATAAGCAAAACAAATTCAATTTTGACTTTTGAAAAGTTTGATATGAACCAAAACACAACGGTCGTTTTTAATATAAACGTTTTGATTAACAATTTGCAGATCAATTCAATTGGGATGTATCAATTTTCATATGATTTGAATGTTATGAATGTTGTGTATAACGAGGAATTTAAAAATGCAATTCTTTTTGTTATAAAAGGAAAATTGACAAATAAAAATAACGTTTTAAGTTCTTGTGGATTTAGAGCATTTTACACCAACAATGATGGGTATATGTGTTATTGTAATTACACTCAAGGAACTTGGGACCCATCATCTGAGAATGCTTTATATAAAGGAGATTGCTTTAACTACACAACACAGTCTGAATTGATATTACAACTTAAAACGGATAAATACACTTTGACAGATGATCAAAATTGGAAACAAATAAACGTTCTCGATAGGACTTTAACTATTAATGGTGATCATGAATTAATTGTGTCATTTATTAAACTTGAAAGAGACCTCCTTCTATATACAAAAATGACTGTCAAGAGTGAAATACAATTTGTTAAAAACACGCATTGTATTGTGAAAAAAGGAGGTTCATTAGCTATCGAACAAAACGTACAAATTTTATTGAATGATGTCACAAACAACATAAATTACAATGGAAAAATACAAATTGAAAGAGGAGGAGTTTTTGAATGTACAAAATTATCAAAAGCAATCAGATGGTTAAACACACGTCCAACCGACTTTTGCGTTGAATTAATTTCATTTCAAACCTATCAAAATAGAATATTCACGTTATCTAATTCTATTTTTATTCAAAACAAATTAGTGAGAGTCTGTCCAAATGGCGTTTCTTTATCACAAAAAACTTGTTGTAATTTTACTGGGAATAACATAGACGATTATCAAAGTTATGAAAACAAAGTACTTCATTGCCCAATTAATACTGAAAATGCTACTCTTGTAATCAAAAATAAATACTTGAAACAACCGAGCGATTTCAAAGGTGTGTTTAGTCAATACTACCAAAACTATAAACAAATAACATTCGAGAAGAAACAAAACTGGAACACACAATTTAATGAAACAAAAGAAACTATATTAATGATATCGAAAAATTCTTTAAATAAAGGAAATTATAAACTGCTTTCTGGAACATCAAAATTGTTTCTTGGCACCAATTTTGGTTTTGAAATATCCACTCAAAAATTAAATTCCAAATCAGCTCAAAATGACTTGGTAATAACCAGTGACACTAACTATCCATGTAAATCGTTGGAAGCAAAAGCAGTTGGTAATTACAATTCAATGTGTTTAGCGTGTAACAATTCGTATTATCTTTTTAACAATATATGTAGTCCTATATCAAAATATTGTGATAACATTTATACAACTAAGACATATTCAATCTGTGAAGAATGTAAATTAGGTTATGAAGCAAATAGAAACAACTGTGTACAGTGTGGGTCTCAATGTCAACATTGTTCTAATAACAAGTGTGTACTTTGTAAAAGGAATTACTACTTTAATAACAATGGCATTTGTACTCGAACAAATGACGCAAAAGGAAATATTGTGTTATACGAGTTACAAAGTATAAGAAAGTGTATTATTGGATATTACAGTTCATTAGTAAAATGTCTTCCATGTTCAGATAATTGCATTCAATGTTACAACTCTACACTTTGCCAAATTTGCAACACTAAAAGCTTTTTAGTTGAAAATGAGACTTCCAAATTTTGTGAAATACAGAGTAATGTTGAACTCTCCAGTAACACTAAAGTGATCTTCTGCAAAAATTCGTTTTATTTAAATTATGAAGAAAATGTGTGTGAAAACTGTTCTATGAAATATGGCGAATTGTGTGATTCTTGTGATTCCAAAATGTGTTTTAATTGTTCTCAAAATGGTATTATTAACGCAATAACAGGACAATGTGAAGTACTTTCAGAAACAAGTTGTCAAATGACACCAAATACTTTTTGCACGATTTGTGCAACAACCAATTATTCAATCAATTCCAGCGGCTTTTGTGACATCAATACAAACTGTTTAGTATCTTGGAAAAACGAAAACTGTCAAGTATGTGACGAAGGGTATTTCCATGATGTCAATAACTCATGTATAACGATAGAAACACAACATGATAAGTGTATTAAATTAACACCTGAAAAAGACCGATGTTACCAGTGTAAAACTGGGTACTATCTTTCAAACAATTATTGTGAAAAATGTTTTAATAACTGTATCGATTGTTACAATGAAAGACAGTGTCTTTTGTGTGAAGATGGATATTATTTACAAGATAATGGATCGTGTGCACTCATTTCTGGTATATCAAATCATTGTAATAGACTTATAAAAGGTGGTTCCTCGTGCGCGCTTTGTGATTTTAAATACTTTAGAAACGCCAAAGGTATGTGCGAGAAGTGCATAGAAAGTTGTGCTAATTGTAATCAGAATTCCACGTGTCTTAATTGTGAAAAAGAAAATTATTTATTAACAGATTCGACCAAATGTGTTTCTTATGAAGAATTGGTGAATTGCACATCAAAAAGTCAGAGTGGTTGTCTGTTGTGTGATACAGGTTTTTATATTGACAATCAAAGGTGTCTGCCTTGTAATTCAAAAACAGATAATTGTACTGAGTGTGTGCAATATGGAGTTTGTGTGCTTTGTGAAGACTCTTTAATTCTTAAAGGTGAGAAGTGTATTCCAATGAGTGGAGTTTCAAAATGTGTCGAAATTGTCAATTCGAAATGTTCAAAGTGTTCTTTTTGGTATATTCCAGAATCTTCAGGGACGTCTTGTAATTCACGAGCGGTGTGGTGGGTCATATTTATAAGTGTTTTGTTCATAGTGATAATAATACTAACACTCATCTTATTAACACTCTTACTCATTTTAAAGGTGTTACAACACAAAAGGCAAGAAGAAGAAAGAAAGAAAACTTGTCTCTTTGTTATGAGTAGTTCCAATGTCAAATTTATGAAGACTTCAAACCAAGAAATTGTTGTTAACATGAAAGAAATACAATTTGAAAGTGACTCATTTGGCGACATCAAAGTTGGTGAAGAAACGCGTGAATTGATCTGTGTTGGCAATATCTCCAAAAACACTGTAAAAGTACAGTTTTCTTCAAAAGAAAGCAATTATAAATACTCATTTAGAACACAACCAAAAGTTATAGCTATTCCAAAAGGAAAAGCGTGTGAATTTGAAATATTTTTAACGCCAAACTGTTCGACTAAAATAAACGACAAAATTCTTTTATTCTCTGCAAATTTGAAAAGTGGAAAGACCACTGAAATTCAAATTCAAATTACAGCGAAAACTGAGATATCAACTAAATTAGACCCAGATGAGTTAATTGACAATAAAAAAGTTGGTGAAGGTAGTTTTGGGATTGTTTATCAAGGGGAGTTCAGAGGGAGTGACGTTGCCATAAAGAAGATGAAAGAGATGAATCAGAGTGATAAGGCCATACAAGAGTTTGAGAAGGAAGTTGCCATGTTAGACAAGTTTAGAAGTGAATATATAATTCACTTTTATGGTGCCGTGTTTATACCAAATAAGATTTGTATTGTAACTGAATTTGCTCAATATGGGAGTGTTAGAGACTTAATGAAACACATGAAAAACGAAGAGATTGCGGTTAACATGAAAGTCAAATTGTGTTTAGATGCGTCTAAAGGTATTTTGTATTTACATGAGAATGGGGTGTTACATAGAGATATAAAACCAGACAATTTCCTTGTGTTTTCACTTGATTCAAACGACAAGGTCAATGCTAAATTGACGGATTTTGGAAGTGCAAGAAATGTGAATCAACTTGTTTCTAATATGACATTCACTAAGGGAATTGGTACACCAAAATACATGGCGCCTGAGGTCTTAAACAAAGAAAAATACACAAAAGGCGCAGACGTCTTTTCATTTGCTATTTCAATGTATGAAGTGTTTATCTGGAAAGACCCATTCCCTAAAGACAAATTTATTTTTCCATGGTCAATTGCAGATTTTATTAGTGCTGGAAAACGATTTGAAAGACCAGAAGAAATCCCAATAAAACTGTTTGATATTTTAAATATGATGTGGGAACAAAATACACAAGAAAGATGCGATATAAAGGAAACTATCGAAATGCTTGAAAATTACTTGAATTGATCTTATAATTATTATTATTATATTATTATAATAATTATTATTTTTAATAAACAAAATGGTTTAATCAAATTAGAATAAGTTGCAATTATATTAGTTTTATTATAAATTAGATATTATTATTAATATATAGTTTAATTAATAATAATAAATAATAAAATTATTAAAAAAATTATAAATATCTTAGGAAATTGTTATTGTAGATTATGTAACTATTATATTAAAAATATTTTAATAACAAATTGTTCATTTTTATTCTTACTAATAATATTAATTTTTTATTAAAAAAATAACAAAATATAACAAAAAACAGAAGAGAACAAATCACAAGAATTATGATATAAAAATTGTTCATTTTATATAATTGGAGTATTTTGTTATTCGACATTATTCTTACTGTTACAATCAAGAACAATACAAAAACAAATTAAAAATGTGAATGAGAAAATCTCAAACAAATTGTATAATA